CTGTGTCTCTCAGGTTGCATTCCCAAGCTCCGCAGGGTGTGAGATAGGAGGAGAGGGTTTGGATTCTCCAACTCTTGCACGTGCCAGAGTGTCAGGCTGGACCGGCTTTGCCGGGGACCTCCGTTTTCTGTCCAGGTTCTCCTTGGGTCTATCTGTTGCCTAGTAGGAAGCTCAGCCTAAGAGTTCAGTTGGAATGAACTCTACAGGGACGTAGAATGTAAAACTGAACCTATGCAATGTGTGTCATGTAAACTCTAAGCTAAGAAAACAGTCCTCTCTCTGAAGTACATTGCCAAAGGGTAGTGCTAAGATTATGGTGAAATTTCATGACTCGATTGCTTGGGGTCACAGATGCCTTTGTATCCTGGAAAAATTAAAACTTTCCAAAGAATGTGGACATTGCTAGTCCCAGCTCTGCAGAAGTACTGTCAGAATCCTAATAAGGGAGGGACAGAATTCCTTGCAGGCATTCGATACGCTTAGCGAACTGCTAGCAGGGAATGCAGCCAAGGCATGTGGGTGGAATAAATCTTTAATCCCTACTTCGCTGCAACAGCCACAGGTCAACAAAACAATACTTTTTCATTTGTAGTAGATAAGTCTTTTTCTGAGGAATTTCAACAACATCTCAATTAACGAAAACCTTAGTAGAGTAGAAGCTGCTTCATGTAGCTAGGACAAACCTCCCTCACCCCCCTTTTTATTACTGCTCCGGTCACAAAGAATCGTAGGCAGATCGGATTTTATCGGGAACTTCTGTGAATGAGTTTCTGAGGCTGTTCCAAAATCAAATGATACTGAGCTCACTGTCCCCTAACTTCCCTATGTAAGTCTGCATTGCTGCACGTGACAATTAAAGCTAAAAATTATGCACTGATCTCCTATTTACAAAGCTTATTTGCTGTAAGTGTTGTCATAAGCTTGTACAAGGATCGAGCAGTTAAGACGCCCAACATCCCACAGCAGAGTGCACGAGTTTGCCAGCTCCAGCCCCTGACTTCAGCTTCCTGCTAGTGGCAGACCCTGGGAGGCAGCGGTGATGGCTCAAGTACTTGATTGGCGTTTCCACTACCCATGTGGGAGGTCTGAGTTGAGTTCCCAGCTCCCAACTTCAGCTCTGGCCCAGCCATGACCATTGTGATCATCTGGGGAGTGAACCAGCAAATGGAAACAAGCTCACTTGCTTACTCCCTCTCTCACTCTCTCGCACTCTCTCTCTCAGATTAAAATATATATATATGGTTCCAGATTCCTGCTTCCCATGAGCACTCAATGAGAGGGTTAACAAGATGCTATTTTTTCTACAGTCATCAAAGTTGAGAGAGGAAACTTGTGTGTTTTCTTGTTTGTCTTTGGATACCACTGCCTGGGGAAATGCATAGAGAAGCAGCAAATTGGGTATATTTTCCTTTAAAGCTGATGCGATCATTGCAACTAGACATCACTGAAATTATATTAGTGCCCTACCATGGAGAGAGGGGCACTAACAGGACTTCTGTGTTTGACTCCAGGAGTTGTTTTCACTCCTGAGTTACAAGCTACCAAATTCAAAATAAATTCCTCACTTTGGGCACATTTAACCCTCTTCTAAGTCAGATAAGGTTCCTTTTATATAAAGCCAAGTGAGTTCACTCACGCATTTTAGGCAGATTTTAAGCAATAAGAACTTGAGGGACTGTCATCACGATACTGCTGTCCCCTGAAATCCATGTTCCTTCGAGGGTATTCCTGAAGATCCATTGTGGAATCAGTCGATGAGCTCACTGAATAGCTAAGACATAGTTAAGAACCTGGGGATCTTCAACTCCAACCACGTATTGTTCCTCATTTAATGAGAGCTGTTGCAGAGGCCTACCCTGAGTAGGATGAGGTTACTTGACAGAGAGTAGAAGCAAAAGAAACTATTCTGGCCCTCAAGTGGACCTTTCTCACAGATGTAAATGAGATGGCCTTTCCCACAGCGCCAGGCTTTGATCCAAGTAGATAAAGCTTGCATTTCCAAGTCACTTCCCCTTCCATGTGGCCTGCTATTTTAACTTGCATGGGACCTAAATCCCCATTCAGCTATTGATTTGTCAGTGTCTGTACAGCTGTGCCTGAGTTCCTACATCCTTTTGTGAGTCTGTCCTCTAACAGAGGCTGTTTCAGATTTAATTTAATCTCTATCGGGTCACGGGTGTAAGTTGTTGAGCTGGTGATCTGGTGAGCGTTAGTGTGTGCTGTTTAGTTACTGTAGCTGTCAGTGACAAAATGCGTTGTATGAATACTAAACATGTTTACAAATAAATGTCCTGTGAAACGTGTGGTCATTTATGATCCCTCTGCGTCCACGCCCAGGACATACAGTTCGTGCGCCTTTGCAGGTGGCAGTAGCAACCTATTTTCTGTGTGGCTCAGAACCATTGAGACAAAAAATACCAAAACTCACATTCCAGAATGACCATTCCTGCTATCCTACTTGAATACGTGGTAATACTCACCCAGATGTTTCTCTCTGGTGCCGGCCTCCAGGTTCATTCAGTAGACAGTTGTTCTGGGGGTGGGGTTGGATAGATAGGGGTGAGGGAGAAATCACCGATGCACAATACAGATATGAACCTTTGGTGTTTATAATGACAAAGTCCTGTGTAGTAGCCATTAGCCACACGTGGCTCCTGAGCACTTGCAGTTTGGCTAGTCCAAAATGACATGGGATGTCTGTGTAAAATCACAGATTTTGAAATTTTAGCACCAGAGAATGTAAACCAGGCCATTAATAATTTTATATTGAATACACATGGAAATGTAGCCGTTTTAAGATATGTTGGGCCAAGTAAAATAGATTAATTTTAGTGTAGTTTCCAGATGACTTAGAACACGTGTGAGGCACACAATGCCCTTCAGGGCATTGCCAGTGGGGAATTTGCCACAGTAAAAGAGCCACAGAGGGTCCCCACAGCTCACTCACGGAGGGACATTGCAACTGATCTTCTGTGTTAAAGATATATTTAAGTAGAGCAGCAGAGGGAGAGAGAGACATAGAAATTTTCACTGTGCAAATGGCTGCAGCAGCCAGGTCTGGGCGACCCAGGACCCAGGAACTTCATCCTGGTCACCCATGTGGGTGGCGGGGACCCAAGAACTCAGGCCATCATCTTCTTCTCAGGCATATTAGCAAGGAGCTGGATTGGAAGCATAGCAGGTGGGATCAAGCCGGCATTCCAACAGGGGACGGTGGCTTAACCTGCTGCACCCTGACTGCCCCTGCCCCTTCATTGCTCTCTCAGATTCATTTGGGCTTGATTAATAGGATATGCTGTAACTCAACTGAATATGGATTTCTAATTTAAAGGAGTTTTTTCATGCCGGCACCTTAAGGGTAACTACATCATTAATTAGACTATCATCATCACATATAGCTTATAGCACTGGGTACACTTGAGCCTGTCCTAAGTGCTTTCCATGGGAACGCATGTAACCCTGTGAACCACCAGTTAAAGCAGGTGCTGACATTACCTCCCTCTGAACAGATGTGGCCTTGAGACTCACAGAGATCAGTCACTGGCCCAAAGTCGCACGTGCAGAGGATGACCCAGGCCATCAGGTTCCAGAACGCACCATGAACCAGGAAACAGCACTGCCCTCTAAAAGGCCATCTTGTCCCTGACTTGCATAGCACAGGACTGTGCCTGTCTCCATAGCATGACGCTAACATTAGTCCTAAACTTACGTGTTTTGAGTAATTTAACAGCTAAGATGTTCAAACTGTTTGCTGCCTCAGAAACTGGGGACCACAGTTTAGCTCAGTCTGCTTAAAAATATGGTCAAATTCCAATTACTTAAGGAATATTTCAGTAAGACTACTGAAGGAGTCCAGGGGATATCACACCAAAATGTGGCGCCCTGGTGTGCTGCTTATTTAAGTTAAAAACATTTGGAGACCAACAGATGCTGGAAGACCAGATCTGCCAAACGGGGCCTTGGATCCCCTCCCTGAGAAGAACAAACTCACACACCAAGCAGCGGGACCGAGGAGCGGCACCACGTCCAGACACACTTCATCACGAGCTGTTTTCTGCTCTTTGATCCTATTCAGTTCCCAAAGAGAATCACTTACAGACCAGTGGCTGGTCTCCAGGTCCCCTCCTGCCCCCAGAATTCATGTGCATCCTCTTAAAAACAGTCCACATCCTCATTCTCCCCCTCCCCTAGGAGGAAGGGGACGTGAGCATCTGAACCTCACAGGGTTATTGCGATGACCCCATGCATGTAACTAAATCCGTGTGCCTTTTGCTCCTGTTAATCTGTCTGCTGCCAGCTCATTTCGGCAAACCTTCAGAGGATGGAGGGGGAGTTACCTTTTCCCAAACATGTTGCTGACGTCCTGGGGATACAGAGATAAAAATGTCAAGCTCCTGGGGCTAGGGTTGTGGCATAGTGGGTTAAGCCACCACTTGCTCCATCAGCATCCCATATGGGCGCTGGTTTGTGTCCCGGCTGCTCCACTTCCAATTCAGCTCCCTGCTAATGCACCTGGGAAAGCAGCAGAAGATGGCCCAAGACCTTGGGCCCTTGCACCCATGTGGGAGACCCAGAAGAAACTCCTGGCTCCTGGCTTCAGCCTGGCCCAGCCCTTGGCTGTTGTGGCCGTTTGGGGAGTGAACCAGCAGATGGAAGATCTCTCTCTCTCTCTCTGTAACTTCACCTTTCAAATAAATGAATAAATATTAAAAAAAAAAAAACTGTTAAAAATGGCAGGCTGCCAGCTTTCTCTTCTAGTGGACATAAGGGCAAATTTCTACAACACAATGTGTTGAAGGCTGGGTATCCAGTGTGTGTTGAGATCATAGAGGCACATCCGACATATTTTGAGGTGCAAGGTACAGTTGCAGCATTAAAGAAATCTAAGACAAAGGGTGCTTGGGCCGTGTTTGTAACTTTCTGGTTTTCTTGCTTCTTGGTGAGTGTCACATCTCCTGGGCTGGTCAGAGAGCTCGCTGACCCCATCTGTGTATTTGCAGGTACCAGCAAGGTCAACCTGGTGAAGATCGCATCCACGGCCTCCAGTCCTCGGGACACGGCCCTGGCTGCGGTCATCTGCAGCGCCCTGGCCACCGTGCTCCTGGCACTCCTCATCCTCTGTGTCATCTATTGCAAGAGACAGTTCATGGAGAAAAAACCCAGCTGTAAGTCTCCAGCTCCTGATCTTCCCTAGCGTTCCGGTGCAGTGTGTTTATTATCATTGTCATGCGACGAGACACTTGGCAATGACAAGCATCGAGGAGCTGCTCAAGAACTGCTCTGTTCCTGCAGTTGTATTTATGAAATGCATGAAGTTTGTATTCCTTAAATAAGAGGTTTCTGGGGCGGGGGTGGGGGGAGTGAAGGGCACATGAAAACCCTTGTAGACTACACTGGGAAAGGCAGCTGTCTTTAAGGACACTGACAAGGCCGTGATGTCCCGTGCCACTAGGCAAAACAAAAAGTATTTTGGGTTCTGGCAACCTAAGCATCCTGCATTTTGAACTTTCTTAACAAATTATTTCATACTTTTGCCTCCATGTAAGAAATACAGGCAGCCCGCCAATGTAAGATGGTCTGACAGTTTTTTTCCCTTAAGATGGTACAAAAATGTACCCGTCCAGCCCTTCTGCTTTTCCCCTTCAGTTCAGTATTCAATAAACCACATGAGACACTCCACACTCTAGTATAAGATAGGCTTGTGCTGCAAGATTTTTCCCATCTGTAGGCCAATGGGCATTTCCTGAGCACACGGAAAGTAGGCAAGGCTAAGCTGCGGTGTGCAGCACGTTAGGTATATCCAGTGCGTTTTTGACTGGGATATTTTCAGCTTATGGTAAGTTTATTGGGGTGTAACCCCATGCTAAGTCATGAAGCAACTGAATCAGAACATGCAATGATAGCTGTGTTTTCTCTAAAAAAGCTACAATGGTGCTGTTTTCTGTTATGATATGAACGGGGCTCTCTGATGGAGAACACTGGGTTCACTGACCGAAATCTCCCCTCCTTGCCTAGGGTCTCTGAGGTCCCAAGACGTGCAGTACAACGGCTCTGAGCTGTCCTGTTTTGACAGACCTCGGCTCAGCCCGTGTGCTCACAGAGCCTGCTGTCAGTGCCACCGGGGCTCCGCCCAGCCTTACGGTAAGTTCAGCCACACGGGATCTTGCAGACAAACCGGAAGAATGCAGAGATTAAAGCCGTAAAAATATGTTCAGATTCATCTCCCAGCAAGGGTGCTGCACGTGGTTTTCTAGTAAGAGCTAATCCTGTTAAATGATCCCCTGTTGGTGTGGGTGTTTTGTGTTTTCAGTGCTAAGAAGAAAATAAGCATTCATTAAAGTTCTAGAATTTTCCAGCTACTTTTTAGGCAAGCTTGCCTTTCTTGTTTAGAGTCAATTTGGTGTGAAATCATGTTAACCTGTCGTGGAAGAGGAGTTGGTGTCCTTTGTTGTCTGTTCAGGTCAAAGTGAGCATTAATGTGCTTATTTTAACATCTTTTTTGATCTCTTAAGGAAGAGGGAGGAAGGAGGGCCATAACAGTTTCCCACAAGCCATAATTGCCTCTTAGATGATTGACAGAAATGACACATTAGACAGCAAGTCCAATGGAAGTTGACCTGTAACCCGGACAAACCTTCTTGGCCACTTAGACATTTAGACTCCTGAGCACATATCCCGCTCCTGTCCCCACCGCACAGCCTCAAAGCCTCTGAAACCTTGTGTGGGCAGCAACCCTCCATAGCAGTCTGCCCTGCCGCCCTCTCCTGTTTCTCTGCATTTCCCAGTAGCACCATCCAGTCTGCATTGACCGGTCTTTATGCAGTTAAACTTACCCCAGTTAGGTTGACTTCTGCATTTGCAAATGTCTAATCTTCCTTTTCAAGGCATGCAGGATGTAGCATTCTTTTTCCAGTTAATTTTTTAAAAATTTTTAATGTTTTTATTAATATGAATAGAACAGATTTCATGTATTTCCTAGGTACAGTTCTAAGAAGATAACCATACTCCCCTTATTCATCATCCCCCTGCTTCAATCCCCCACCTTACTTCTTTTCTTATTTTCTTTAATTTTTGAAAAGACATGCTTTCTTCTTTTTTTTAAGACTTATTTATTTATTTGAAAGTCAGAGATACAGAGAGGAGAGGCAGAGAGAGAGAGAGAGAGAGAGAGAGAGGTCTTCCATCCACTGGTTCACTCCCCAATTGGCTGCAACGGCTGGAGCTGTGCCGATCCGAAGCCAGGAACCAGGAGCTTCTTCAGGGTCTCCCACACTGGTGCAGGGGCCCAAGGATTTGGACCATCCTCCATTACTTTCCCAGGCCATAGCTGAGAGCTGAATTGGAAGTGAAGCAGTCAGGACTTGAACCAGCACCCATGTGGGATGCCGGCACTGCAGGCGTCAGCTTTATCTGCTATGCCACAGCGCTGGCCCCAAGACACACTTTCTTTTTTTATATAATTTTTTTTTTATTTTATTTTTATCTTGACAGGTAGAGTTACAGACACAGAGAGAGAGAGACAGAGAGAAAGGTCTTCCTTTTCAGTTGGTTCACCCCTCAAATGGCTGCTACAGCCGGCGCGCTGCGCCAATCCAAAGCCAGGAGCCAGGTGATTCCTTCTGGTCTCCCATGCAGGTGCAGGGCCCAAGCACTTGGGCCATCCTCCACTGCACTCTTGGGCCACAGCAGAGAGCTGGCCTGGAAGAGGGGCAACCCGGACAGAATCCGGCGCCCCAACCGGGACTAGAACCCGGGGTGCTGGCGCCACAGGCAGAGAATTAGCCTAGTGAGCTGCGGCGCCAGCCAAGACATACTTTCAATCCACTCTATCATCACTGGCTTATTTCACCACTAACCATAAGACTCAACAAGTAAAAAGTAGGAACATCACAATTCCACAGGTGTATAAACAAGGGCTAAAAACAACAAATATATTGCAAGATGTCCATTTCATTCCTATACATTTTTTTGTATTCTATCTTAACTGCCACATATCAGAAAAAGCATATTATATTTGTCTCTGATTTTGTTTAAGATTTATTTATTTATTTATTTATTTGAAAGTAAGAGTTACAGAGAAAGAGAGGCAGAGGCAGAGGTAGAGAGTTCTTCCATCTGCTAGTTCACTTCCCAAATGGCCACAAGGGCCAGGTCTAGGCCAGGCTGAAGCCAGGATCCAGGATCTTCTTCCAGGACTCCCTATGTGGGTGCAGGGGCCCAAGGACTTGGGTGTCTTCCATTGCTTTCCCAGACACATTAGCAGGGAGCTGGATAGGAAGTGGAGGAACCAAGGCTGAAAACAGTACCCATATGGGATGCGGGCACTACAGGCGGTGGCTTTATCTGCTATGCCACAACGCTGGCACCAGTCTCTAATTTTAATCATTTCTTCCCTCCTACTAATTTTGGTTTTGTTTTTTTCTTGCTTATTTAGATACTTGAGATGCATTGTTAAATCATTTATTTGATGCCTTTCCAATTTCTTGACATAATTGCTATAAACTTTCCTCTCTCTCTCTCTCTCTAAATATATATATATATATATATATACTATCACAGGTGTCTAATACTTTTTATTTTTAGGCAGAGTTACAGAGAGGCAGAGAGAGAGATGGCTACAATGGCCAGAGTTGGGCCAAGCAGAAGCCAGGAGCCAGGAGCTTCTTCCAGGTCTCCCACATGAATGCAGGGACCTAAGGACTTAGGACTTTTACTGCTTTCTCAGGCCATAGCAGAGAGCCAGGTCAGAAGTAGAGCAGCCTGGACTTAAACCGACGCCAAATGGGATGCCAGCACTGTAGGTGGTGGCTTCACTGGCTATTCCACAGCGCCAGCCCCTAAACTTTCCTTTGTAACACTGCTTTTGCTGTATCTCATAAGTTTTGATATGTCATGTTATTATCTTCATTCATTTCTAGGATTTTTTTAATTTCCCTTTTGATTTCTTCTATGACCCACTGTTCATTCAGGAGCATTTGTTCACTCTCCCATGTGTTTGAATATTTTCTGGAGTTTCTTAAGTTGTTAATTTCCAGGTCATCCCATTGTGGTCAGAAAAGATACATGGTATGACTTCAATTTTTTTGAATTTATTGAGACTTGCTTTATGGCCTAGCATATGGTCTATCCTAGAGAATGTTCATATATTCTGCAGCTGAGGGATGAAAGATTCTTTTTTTTTTTTTTTTTTGGACAGGCAGAGTTAGACAGTGAGAGAGAGAGAGAGATAAAGGTCTTCCTTTTCCGTTGGTTCACCCCCCAAATGGCCGCTGCGGCTGGTGCGCTCCAGCCAGTGCGCTGGGCCCATCTGAAGCCAGGATTCAGGTGCTTCCTCCTGGTCTCCCATGTGGGTAGAGGGCCCAATAACTTGGGCCATCCTCCACTGCCTTTCTGGGTCACAGCAGAGAGCTGGACTGGAAGAGGAGCAACCAGGACAGAATCCGGCGCCCAACCGGGACTAGAACCCAGGGTACCAGCGGTGCAGGCAGAGGATTAGCCAGGTGAGCCGCCTTGCCGGCCATGGGATGAAAGATTCTGTAGATATCAATTAGGTCTATTTGGTCCATAGTGTAGGTTAGCTCTGTTGTTTCTTTGTTGATTTTTGTCTAGTTGGTTTGTCTATTGATAAAAGTGGAGTGTTGAAATTCCCCATTATTATTGTATTGGCTCCTATGTCTCCCTTTAGATACATTAACATTTGTTTTAAATAGCCAGGTGCCCTCATATTGGATGCATGTACATTGACTCTAGTCACAAATTCCTCTTGAATTGATCCCTTAATCATTACATAGTTCCCTTCCTTGTCCCTTTTAACAGTTTTTGTGTTAAAGTCTATTTTGTCTAATATTGGGATGGCTACTCCTGTCTTTTTTGCTTTTTCTTAGCATGGATTATCTTTTTCCATCCTTTCACTTTCATTCTGGGTATCTTTGTTGGTAAGGTGTTTCTTGTAGACTGCAAATACATGGATTTTCTTTTTAATCCATTTAGCCAACCTGCATGTTTTAATTGGAGAATTTAGGATATTTACATTCAAGATTTTTATTGATAAGTAATGACTTGGCCCTGCCATTTTCCATAAATATTCCTACTGTTTGTTTTGGATTTCCTTTGTAGTGTTACAAGGAGATTTTCTTTATTAACATTCTTTCATAGTGATGACTATCTTTCTCTGTTTCTATGTGTAGCACATCCTTAAGTATCATTTGTAAGACTGGACAAGTGGTGACAGATTCTTTCAATTTCTGTTTGTTTTGGAAGATCTCTATTTCACCTTCATTTATAAATGAGAGCTTTGCTGGGTGCAGTATTCTGGGTTGACAGCTTTTTTAGGACTTGGACTGCATCTCTCCTAGCCTGTAGGGTTTCTTATGAGAAATCAGCTGTCAGTCTAATTGGGGATCCTCTGAAGTTAATCTGGTGCACATTTTAGAATCTTTTCTTTATGTTTTACTGTTGAACGTTTGACTACAGTGTGTCTTGTTGAACGTTTTTTCTGATCATGCATATCAGGAGTTCTATGTGCTTCCTGTACTTGAATGGCCCTATCTTTCCCCAGATTAGCAAAGCTTTCTGCTATTATTTTACTGAATAGGTCTTCTAATTCATCTCTTTCCATACCTTCAGGAACTCCTAAGACACATTTGTTAGGTTGTTTGATAGTATCCCATAAATTTCAAACACTTTCTCAGTTTTTCTAATTTTTTCTTCTTGTTTCTTTTTTGTCTGTTTCTGAAGATTTGTCTTACAACTCAAATATTCTTGTTCTGCCTCACCAAGTCTGTTGTTGAAGCTTTCCACTATATCTTTTATTTGGCATATTGAATTCTTCATTTCTAATATTTCAGCTTGATTTCTCTTCAGTGTCTCCATCTCCTGGCAAAATTTTTTATCCATATCATGTATGGGTTTCTTTAACTCATGTATTGCTTCTTTATATTTTTGAGTAATCTTATGATCATTCTTCCAATCTCTCTTTTTTTAAAGATTTATTTATTATTTGAAAGGCAGAGTTGCAGAGAGAGTTCTTCCATCTGCTGGTTTATTACCCCACATGCCACAACCATCCTGGCTGGGCCAGGCTCAAGTCAGGAGCCAGGAGCTTCTTCTGGGTCACCCATGTGGGTGTAGGGGCCCAAGGACTTGGGCCATCTTCTGCTGCTCTGCTCTCCCAGGCACATTAGCAGGAAGCTGGGTCAGAAGTGGAGCAGCCAGGACTCAAACTGGTGCCCATATGGGATGCCAGCACTGCAGATGGTGGCTTAACCAGCTGTGCCACAATGCTAGTCCCCATTCTTTCAATTTCATGTTGTACAAATGAATAACTACTATTCGTTACTATCTTCCATCTAAAGAGTAGATTAAGAATAAAATGTAAGATTTTTCATGGTGTGTGTGGGTCTAGGTTTGTCTTTGCCAACACAGAAAATACATTCTTGGACAGCTATTGACAGTAACTGAATGATCCTCAACCTCCCTCATGAATTGTGTTTTCCTGGATACTCTCCCACGGACACCGTTACTACAGGCAGAATTAGCAGGGATAATTTCTTCAGAGGTGAGCTATCACTTTAGATGTAGGAACACTCAGCTTTCTTCAAACTCTTCTTCCATCAGAGAAGAACAATTAAACATTGAGTGGCCTTGTTGTTCATCCTCCTAACAGGACACTCAGGGTAGAAAGTCCCATGTGATGTCCAGCTTCCATGAGCTCATCATCTCGCACACTCCCTTCTAAACAGCAGTGCCTTACTTTTCTTTCAAATTTCTATTTTGACATTATTTCAGACTTTCAGGGAAATGGGAAGAGTAGGACAGAGAAGTCTCACATATCCTTTCCCTTAAATGCTTTATCTCTTTTCCACATTTGCTTTATTCTCTCTCTCTCTCTCTCTCTCTCTCTCTCTCTCTCATTCTGACACCACACATCACACACATTTTTCTCATTTGTCATTTAACAGTCAGTAGTAGATGTGGTGTGCATTTTACCCCTTAATACTTCAGTGAGGGGTTGGCATTGTGGCATAGCAGATAAAAGCTGCTGCACTGGGGCTGGTGTTGTGGTATAGCGGGTTAAGCCACTGCCTGCAATGCTGGTATCCCATATGGGTGATAGTTCAAGTCCCAGCTGCTCCACTTCCAATCCTGCTCCCTGCTAATGTTCGTGGGAAAGCTAGCAGAAGATGGCCCAAGTGCTTGAACCCCGAACCTACATAAGACACCTGGAAGAAGCTCCTGGCTCCTGGATTCGAACTGGCCCAGCCTCAGCCATTGTGGCCATTTAGGAGTGAATCAGCAGATGGAAGACACCTCTCTCTCTCTCTCTCTCTCTCTCTTCCCCTCCCTCCCCTCCCCCCTCTCTAACTCTGCCTTTCAGATAAATATTTTTTAAAAAAATTCCATTGCCTGTGATGCCAGCATCCTACGTGGGCACTGGTTAGTGTCTCAGCTGCTCCACTTCTGATCTAGCTCCCTGCTAGTGGCGTGAGAAAAGCAGCAGAGGATGGTCCAAATGCCTGGGCCACTGCTACCCACATGGGAGACCTAGGTGAAGCTTCTGACCCCTGGCTTGATCCTGGCCCAGTGTTGGCCATTGTAGCCATCTAGGTAGTAAGCCAGCAGATAGGAAATCTCCCTCTCTCTCTCTCTCTCTCTCTCTCTCTCTCTGTGTGTGTGTGTGTTTATGTCTCCCTCTGTAACTCTGACTTTAAAAATAAATAAATAAATCTTCTTTAAAAAAATACTTCGGTGTTTGTTTCCTAAGAATAAGAACATTCAGGGGCCAGGGCTGTGGTGCAGCGTGTTAACACCCTGGCTTGAAGCACTGGCATCCCATATGGGTGCCGGTTCAAGACCCTGCTGCTCCACTTCCCATCCAGCTCTCTACTATGGCCTGGGAAAGCAGTAGAAGATGACCCAAGTGTTTGGGTCTCTGCACCCACATGAGAGACCCGGAGGAAGCTCCTGGCTCCTGGCTTTGGATCGGCACAGCTCCTGCCATTGTGGCCAATTGGGGAGTGAACCATCAGATGGAAGACCTCTCTCTCTCTCTCTCTCTCTCTGCCTCTCCTCTCTCTGTGTAACTCTGACTTTCAAATAAATAAATCTTTAAAAAGGACGTTCTGTGATGTAACCACAGCACGATGAGTAGAGGTCAGGAAATGAACAGTAATTCAACGACATGTTCTAGTTTACAGAGCACGTCTATATGCTCCTATTGTCCAGCAACGTCATTCATAGCAAAGGAAACCCCGATGCCACTGTTACAGTTGGCTGCCAAGTATCTTTGGCTTCTTCTAATCTAGGGTGGTTTCTTCTTCTTTCTTTGTGTGTCATGGCGTTGATATCATTGAAGTCTACAAGCCAGTAGGTTTGTGGGCTGGCCCTTAGTTTGAGTTTGTCCCATGCTGCCTCTGGGTTAGATTCAGGAACACAGCAGAGGGGCTGCTGCGTTCTTCCTGGTGCCTAGCATTGGGAGGCACAGATGTCTGTCCCATGCCCCATCCGGTTAAGCTTGGCCACTTAGCCAAGGTGATGTCCTCCAGGTTTCTCCACAATAAAATTAGTTTTCTTCCTCTTTGTAATTGATAATTATCTTGTGGGGAGATATTTTGAAAGCATGCAAATATCCTGCTGCTCCCCAAACTATCGCTGAGTAGTTTAGCATCCTCTGACGATTCTTTCCTAAATCACTCATTATCTAAATTCCTAAATCATTCACGTTGGTTAACAATGATGTTTCTAGTTCCACCATCATTCCGACTTTATTATTTGGCTTCTATAGTAATGAGGAAATGTCCCTTCTTATCCATTTATTTCCTTGCTTTAATTAGTTCAGACTTGCGATTTTTACTCAATGGGTTACAATCCTTTGGTATCATTATTGATTGTGATTCTCAGTTTCTCCTCCATTTGACCAGTGGAACTCCCTTCAGGCTGGCTCATGTGCCATTTCGTTCTGCTGCCCCGTTATTCTTTTGGTGCTTTCTTACTTTCTGGCACAAAAGGAAGTCCTGGCTCATCCTGCGCTTTCTCTGGAAGCAGCCATTTCTATGAGGAGCAACAGTGCCTTTTGCTTTTTGACGATTCTGAAACCTCCAGAGTGAGCAGGACGCACACACTGCCAAGTCACTTGGCGGTGGATCCAGGCAAGACCCCCAAGGTCATACCCATGTGTGTTCAGGTGGCACAAGACAGAGGCCTGGATCTGAGAGACATCTACATGCAGGCATGCTGAATGGCCTTTCTGCTTAACACTGGCTTGCAACTGCTCCTCCATAGTTAACATGCTTTTTAGAATATTTTTCTATTTATTTGAGAGACAGCTGTGAAGAGAGTGACAGCTCCCACCTGTCACTCCTGCAGATACCTACAACAACCAGGGGAGCTGACACTGAAAACCAGAGATGATGCAGTCCGGGTCTCCAGTGTGGGTGGCGGGGAACCAGTGACGTGAGCCATCCCCTGTTCCATCCATGGCATTGGCAGGAAGCTGGACTCGGGAGCCAGAGCTGGGAACAGAACACAGACACCACCACTAGGCCACACACCGGCCCCTGACATTCATTTGTTAAAAGGGAGATATTAGTTTCATAATATGTTTTTCCCTGTTTATAAAAGCCATTCCGTGTGGAAAGTTTGAGTACATACACCAACATACATACATATATGGACATGTGTAATGCCCGTAAGGCCGTAAGGCCTTTTCTCTGTGTCTGTATGTGTGTTTTGTATGTGTGTATGTGCTTTAATGTGTTTATGGTTTTGTAAAGTCAGAAGTTTGTGCACATGTACATAGAGAGCCAGAAGTCTTGAAGGCTGTTCACCAGAGTGTTGAAAGTGTTTGTTTCCAGTCTGTAGAATTGAGAAAGATACATTTTTTAAATTCATTTCTTATCTCTCTCTTCATTTTTTAAAAATTTTTCGCTTTGATAAGCTTGCATTATCTTTGAAATCAAAATGATATGTGGCTTCAGTGAGCGTAATGATTCATAAAGCTGTGCGTACACATCGACTCATGCCTTAAATGACATTCCTAGCAATGAAAAAGATCATGTACGTGTGTGTGTGTGTACTGAGTTCAGGAGTGCATGTTTTTACGTCCTGGTCCATTCCTAGGCTGCTCAACAGAAAAGCCCCACCAGCCCCCTGTCCTCAGGTGCACCAGAGCCTCATCACGCGTGCTTCGCTTTCTCATTGTGGGAGAATGCACGCAACATTCCATCTGCCACCGTAACCACTTTCACATGCACAGTGGAGTGGCATCAAGAACATTCACGTGGCTGCGCGGCCGTCACCACCTTCCGCCCCTGAACTCTGCGTCTCCCCAGACTCCTGCCCCGATGAAGCACCAACTCCCTCCCTCAGGCCCCGGCAGCCCCCCTCCACACCCACATCTGTGAGTTTCATGCTCTAGGGACCTAATGTAAGTGGTTCACTGAAGAGAAGAGAGAACCCCAGTGCCCATGGCCCCCAAAGTCACGCCAAGGGGAATAGCCGAATCTCCGAGAAAGGTGTGTTGAATGGTGTGTGAGAGAACGAGAAAAGCCTGTGCCTCACGCTCTGCTGGCTTTCCCAGGGCCTCTTCACCTGATCCCGTCCCTGTGCTGCGACGAGGCTTGCGGTGCCAACCGGGCAGCTCTAGCTTGTGGGGCGCATTCTGCAGCCACCCTACAGGAGAGGTAACCGTGTGCTTTTAATCAGCAGTTTCCTGGTCTCCTGTTCTATGTTCTACTGATCAACTGGCTTTCAAATGAAACTATGGGGACATCACTTTTTTTTTAATTTTTCAAAAAAATTTTTAAATTGTTATTTATTTGAGAGGCATAGAGACAGAGAGAGCTCCCACCCACTGGCTAACACCTCCAAATGCCTGCAACAGCCAGGATTGGGCTGGGCTGAAGGCAGGAGCTGGGAATTCAATCAGGATCCCCACGTGAGTGGCAGGAACTCAGTTCTTTGAGTCATCCCTTTTGCTTCCCAGGGGCTCCATCAGCAGGAAGCTGGAGTCAGGAGCTGGAGTTGGGCCTCACACCCAGAGACTGCAGTCTGGGATACAGTTATCTTAACTGCTAAGCCAAAATTCCACTCCAGAACATCATTTTCTAAATAGCATTAGTGGCCTCTGGACACTGGAGATGTCAATTCTTTTGCAAGAGTTAGTGGGTAGGTCTCTCAATATTGCTAATACTCAGTGCAGCATTCTTTGTATTCTACTCCCCATTAATTGTATTTTCATGATTTTTGACACTTTCATCATCATGTATAATATGTCATGTACTCAGGACCAACTGTCATAGGATTTTAGAATGGTATTTATGGAAGCTCAGTCAACACCTTGGAAACTTTGTGTTTGGGACATTGGATCAGTCTGTTTTAATTAGAAATGAATGTAAAAGCAAATGGGATAATTTGATTTACTGAGGCAGGTTTATAATAGGAAGCACTAGAATTTTAATGGAAAATAAATTGCCCTTTCATCCAAAAAAAAAAAAAAAAAAAAAGTTAGTTCTAGCTAAGATGCTGCATTGTGGCCGTTTTCTGTCACCAGACAGTACATAAAGACCTCTGAATTCTGTGTTCAGGAGCGCAGGGGCAGCTGGGGATACCATGGCAGCCTTCTTCGGGTCCCCTTCGCGGTCCGTCTGTGGCGAGTTCTCGGACGCCTGGCCTCTGATGCAGGATGCCACTGGTGGTGACAGCATCTCCTTCTGTGACTCTTACTCTGAACTCGCTGGAGAGGATCTTCATTCCCTCAATCCAGAAAACGAAAGCGCAACATCTTTGGATCCAGACAGTGGTCAGGATTTGGTGGGCGGAGCAGCTCCCACTGAAAGTCATTCTGAAAACTCTACAGAAAACACGGACTCCCCCAAATACAGGAGCGCGCGGGCAGAGCCAGCAGCAGCTCAGGATGCACTGTGTGCTGGAAGCCAGCTGGAGCAAGAGAGCAGCCGCACTGGGAATGCAACCACTGCCCCGGCCCTCCAGGTAAGGCGTGGACTGGTTTCAGTATAACCTAGGGCCCTGGCTTACGTAGACCGGAAGGGATGGAACTCGACTCCCACCGTAAAACCTGGAGGAACCTAATGCAGTTTTCCCTTTTTTCATTAATTCTTATATGTTAAAGGAGAATGTTTTACAATAAAATGCTAAGGGTCTTTTAAAAAAAGAGCCAATCTGTAACAGGTGGCTGCTTCTTTAATTTCTTCATTGAAAATCCTACTGGGGCCTGTGCTGCTGGTTAAGCCATTGCTTGCAACGCTGGCCTCCCATATGGATGCTGGTCCATGTTCCAGCTACTCCTCTTCCAAGTCAACTCCCTGCTAATATGACTGGAAAAACAGCAGGTGCTCCCACTTAGACGGGGTGGCCCTGCATTGTGGACTGGCTCCTAACTGAGGAGGAGGACGCGTTTCTGTCTGGGAGGTGTAGCAGGGACAGCTACAGCCATAGCCGGACTTCTGTCCTTATTTGGGGGTGAGGCTGTGATTTCTAACTCAGGCTGCATCTGTTTCTAAAAAACTGCGTTTTTACACAGTGTTGCGTGGGTGGTTTAAGGCCACCTGGAATCTGATGATAGTATGGCTCAGGATAAAACGATAGGAATGACAGCCTCCGTTTGTCTGTGTGTCTCAGTTTTAATCGGTATTTCCCCGTACATATCATCCCAGAAGGGAACAGAACTGAGATATTTGGAGCATCGTTTTCTGGCATATTTGAGAGGATGAAGCCAGCCTGTTACTTACAGGAAAGCTTTGATGTTGTTTTTAGATGTCAACAGGCAGGACCAGAAAGAAGCGTAGTGGCCAGGGAGTGCAGTGGAGGATGGCTCAAGTCCTTGGGCCCTGCACCCCATGGGAGACCAGGAGAAGCACCTGGCTCCTGCCATTGGATCAGCGCAGTGCACCGGCCGCGGTGCACCGGCCACAGCGCGCCGGCCGCGGCAGCCATTGGAGGGTGAACCAACGGCAAAGGAAGACCTTTCTCTCTGTCTCTCTCTCTCACTGTCCACTCTTCCTGTCAAAAAAAAAAAAAAAAGTTAAAAAAAAAAAAAAAAGAAAAGCTAGGAGTAGGGGCCGGTGCCGTGGCACACTAGGTTAATCCTCTGCCTGCGGCACCAGCATCCCATATGGGTGCCGGTTCTAGTCCCGGCTGCTCCTCTTCCGATCCGGCTCTCTGCTATGGCCTGGGAAAGCAGTAGAAGATGGCCCAAGTCCTTGAGCCTCTGCACTTCATGGGAGACCCAGAAGAAGCTTCTGGCTCCTGGCTTCGGATTGGTGCAGCTCCAGCCGTGGCAGCCATTTGGGGAGTGAACCGATGGAGGGAAGACCTATCTCTCTGTCTCTCCGTCTCACTGTCTGTAATTCTAACTTTCAAATAAAATAAATAAAAAATCTTGAAAGAAAAGATAGGAGTGAACCTGGGTTCTAGTTTTCCAGTCTGTTAAAATCTCCACTTTTTCCTTATTGGCAACATAAAGACAATTAGCCACCCAATGTAGGGTTCATGTGTTTCTTATCATGTCAGCTGATCAACAGTTGTTCAAGGGGCAGGTGCCACGGCATGATGGAGTAAGCCGCCACTTGGGATGCCTGCATCCCGTATCGGGGCCAGTGGGAGTCCTGGCTGCTCCACTTCCAGTCAGCTCCCTGCTAGTGCACCTGGCAGGCAGTGGTTGATGGCTCAAGTGCTTGAGTCTCTGCCACCCATGTGGGAGACCTGGATGGGCTTCCTGGCTCCTGGCTTTGGCTTAGCCGGCCATTTGGGAAGTGAACCAATGGCTCGTTCTCTCTCTCTCTACTTTTCAAATAAAATGAAAGTTAAAATAAACTTTAAACAAATTTTAAATATGTCATTCAAGAGAACTTTAGAAGCTTTTATTTCTGGGTAACCTTGGACCTAGAGGAAAATGAAGGGCTGCTGCGTGAGGTCAGGGCTCACTTGCAGTAACGGCGGCGGCCAGTGTGTCGTCCCTTCCTGCGGAGAGGCAGGGCCTTCTGGGATGAGGACAACGCAACAGCTCCCGATTGCTGAGGAGTTCGCCCCAAGAAGAGTGGGAGTACTCCGGGAGAAGCAGTATCCTTTTCTTAATGCTTTCTAACCCGTCTCTGATAGTTCAGTGGAAGCTTTCGGTTGAAAGGCTAAGCTGCAGACACAGATCAGCACTATTCATGAAACGTCTTTGTTCTCTGAAAGAAGGGAACAGAGAATCCCAAAGCCCTTCCCTGCACGTCAGTTCTCTTGAGGAGCGCTGTCGAAGAGGGAACAAGCCCTAAGTGCTTGAATGAGGGCGCAAAGCAGCCCAAGACCTGTGGATGAACACATTGCGGCTGCTTCGGGCTGCTTCCTCGTCTTTCAGCCCCTCGCTGCAAATGTTGGCTGGCTAAGACTTGGTATGAAAACCTTTATTCTCAGAGGACTTGAGTCACCTGGCTCTCTGAACATGAGCCTCACGTCCGAACGGTGTTAAATTCTTGTAGAGTGGTCAAATCTATGTGTCATAACTCACTGCAGTTCTCCTTTAGCAACTGCCGCTTGCAAGGTGTGTTGTTAACGCTTTACCACTGTTGCTCTTTGTAGGAAGCTTAAAGGCCGCACCTGTCTGCGGTGGAGGCGTGTGTCTGCAACCCAATGGGCACTCCACGTGGGCTTTCAGACTGCTCAGACTGGACCATGCAGAGCTTCTGGTGACGAGATAAATCTGAACCAATCGGATGGCATTTGAAGCCTTTCAACCAGTTGCTTCTGAACCAGACCAGCTACAGCTGAAAAACCACAACAAAACAGCCAGGCTCGAGGCTAACTGTGACTCGTGACTCTCTGTGTCTTTCCTGACTGAGAAGCGTCTCTGCTCCTGGGCGACTTCAAAGACAGATGAGCTCTGTTGCACCTGCAAGAAAATGGACGCATCCCTGCTTGGTTGATGGTGACTGTGGCTTTCCGAGACTGAAGACCCACAGTGTACATTTGCATTGACATTTTCTCTCTGGAAATAATGTCATTATAGTCTGTTGTCCTACTAAGCAGTCCATGTCCAATTCATTACCTTAGCTTGTGTGTAGAATAGGTTCAAAGTGAGTTTCTACTTGACAAGATCACGTTTTCATCAGCTCAACAGATAAGCTCAGGTTGGAACTGACTTCCCACTGCCTGCCTGAATCTTGGGCGTAGCAGGTGAAGGTAATTGGTCTAAGTAGGAATCAGAAGAAAGGTTTTTTTTTTTTTTCCAGAATCTCTGCTTCTAACCTCAGCCCCTGCTGAAGTTACAAATACCTGCTGGTGCTGGGGAGCCAGAGGGGGCCTGGGGTAATGCGTGTGACCCGGAAAGGGGGACCCATTTCCCTGAGTTGAAAACCACTCCACACACATATCTTGGAGACTTCCATGCAAAGGTTAGCGTACCCGTGTGAAAATCAGGTGATAGGGAAGCGCTTGCTGTCTCCATTCCTGTGCCTGAGCTTAGAAGACCCAGACTTTCTGCTGTAGAAAAGCGGTGTCTATAAACATAATGATCTTTTTACCTGTGCCGGATCTCACACTAAGCGCTCTGCACATGACAGCGTCTCAGGTTGCCCTGCTACTGAAGGAGCCTTCAGTGAGAATGCACCTTCCTTTAGACCCAGAAGGAAAAGCACAGTGTGTAGGTGGGCAGTCGTTAGAGCAGGACACTGGAGTGTCCCCCCAGTCCTGCTAGATCGTCAGCACACAGACTCCTATTGCAGTCGATGACTTGGCGATCAAAGCACAGTTCCTCCACCAAGGTGCTCCGTCTTCTACCACCTCGGGGTGTGCGCACTGGAATGTCTCAAGGGCTAAGAAAGTAATCCGTCCTGAAGCAGGGAACGCCTGATTTGCCTTTGCCCTTGATCTTTAGGACTTAGCTGAGCAGGGGTTTTTTATTTTGTTTTGTGTGTGTGGTTTTTTTTGTTTGTTTGTTTTGTGTGTGTGAGCTCGGTCGCTTTCACAGCTAACAATGGATTTGGGCGTTTGAACGTCAGTGTGGCAGAGTGCACTAACGTGCTTGTTTGGGAATTGTCCTGTCCATGTCAGCAGCCTTTACCCACATGTTAACAGGACGTAAAATCAGTCCCCCCCTGCACCCCCCGGGAGAGTTTCAGCTTTTCACTTCCTACCCCGTGGCTCACTGTGCTAGACCTTGGTGAACCGTCATGAGCGGCCTTCCTGTGGCCCTGTCTCTGTGCATAGGTTCAGGCTCTGATGTGTGTGTAGTAGCCTGTCCGTGTCTGCTGCTGCTCATGACCTCAGTTCCTTCCCCTGAAACACGGAACGACGGCGTCTCCTGGTAACTCGCAGGTGTAATGTTCCTAGTGCCCATCATAATTGGTTGACTTTTTTTTCTTTTCCTTGTTAAACTTCAACCAGTGGTTCTTCAACTTTGCTACTCATCAACTCTTATGAGAATTGCCTTTAGGAAACGCATGTTAAGTATTTTGGATTTGGCCACAAGAAGTCTCTGAAAACGCAGTCTCCTGGGTGACTTCCCTGGGACTCACGCATGTGCAGCATTGTTTGATGGTTTGTTATGCCGCAGGGATGATCAAAGCAGCTCAGGGCTGTCTTCCGTTGTGTAACCTGAATATAGTTTCCATATGTAAAGCCCTGATTACCTTCACAGCCAAACGCTTGCTGGAGAAAACTCTGGCCCCAAACCCTGAAACACCACGTTTGATCCGCAGAGAAATGCATGGGGTTGAAATGATTGCGTCTGATGCTGCATAGGGAAAATCCTGGGTTATTTTTATCAAGTTGAAGGCTTTTTTGTAACCACTACCTACTCTAGAAACAGACAATAATGGCATACTTTACACTCCTTATCCACACTTGAAAAAAACTCAGCTTGCATTTCAGGTTGCTGGAGTACCCTACCGCACTCAGTACGAGTGCTGGCATCGGGAATCTGTATCAGATAAACACCTGGCTCAGTGGGCACCACCCTGGTGGTTTCTCAGCTTGCAGAGGCTCCTTAATGAGATGAGATGAGGAATTCAGCAACCAACTCACAAGTTCTCTCATTTTGCATAGACGGAATATATTTTTAAATGTAGATTTCTACTTTAGATAAAGTATTACTGTTGCTATGACCTAGATTAAGCACTGTCGTTTGTGCATTTAAAAAAAAAAGAGAAAGAAAATGGAAGGAAAAAAAATCCATCATTGCTTTAAGGTAGTTTAAATCACAGATTTCATCATCACTGTTTTTCATACTGGAATTTATAAATTTGTAAATTATCATTTTCCTATACAAACAGTTTTGTAATATCTTTTTTATTTTTGAATAAAATTGTTCTGTGGTATTCCTATTTACATGTCCAGCAGGAAGATGATTGCTTTTGTGGATGCCTTAGTCCATGGTGGGGGGCGGGGCCCCCAAACCATGCTCCTCCAGATTGGACCCTCTCTGGCCTCTCAGCTTTTGGAAGGTGATTTGAAATCCTTCCTAGTGAACTGCCTGTATGAGGGCACTTGAAAAAGTCCATGGGAAATGGAATGCAAGTTTGTCTTGCTGCAAAACATTTTGAAATCCGTGCAAGTAAGAGATCTTTTTAAAAGTTCATGGAAGTAATTATTATGGAAAAACTATGCATGGATTTCAAAATTTTTTGCACCAAAATGAATTTAGCTTTCTTTAAAAAAAAATTCTTATTGATTTATTTATTTGAGAGGTAGAGTTACAGAGAGAGAGGTAGAGGCAGAGAGAGAGTCTTCCGTCTGCTGGTTCACTCCCCAAATGGCAGCAACGGCCGGAGTTGGGCCAACCCAAAGCCAGGAGCCTAGAGCTTCTTCCAAGTCCCTCACACACATGCAGGGGCCTAAGGACTTGGACCATCTTCTACTATTTTCCCAGGCCATAGCAGAGAGCTGGATCAGAAGAGGAACAGCCCCTGATATGGGATGCTGGTGCAACAGGCGGAGGCTTAACCCACTACGCCACAGCACCGGCCCCGAATTTAGCATTTATCCCAATTTTTTCCATGAACGTTTGAAAGTCCATTCATGTTTCTCAAGAATGTCCCGAGTTTGAAAAGCTTTTGTGGGGTTGGTGTTGTGGCATTGCAGGGACAGCTGACACCTGTGACACAGGCATCCTGTATGGGCACCTGTTCGAGTCCAGGCTGCTCCACTTCCAATCCAGCTCCCTGCTCATGGCCTAGGAAAAGCAGCCCAAGTGTTTGGGCTCCTGCCACCCACGTGAGAGATGTGGATAAAGCTCCTGGCTTCGGCCCAGCCCTGGCCATTGTGGCCACCTGGGGAGTGAACCAGTGGATGGAAGATCTCTCTCTCTCTCTGTAACTTTCAAATGAATAAATCTTTAAAAAAAGAAGAAGAAGAAGAAAGAAAAGAAAGAAAGAAAGAAAAAAGAAAAGGAAGAAAGAAAAGCTTAGTATTGAAATTGTGTCATGATCTCTTTGATTTTTTTTTTGCCCTTCATTTTATAACACCAAGAGAGTTGGAGCTAAAGAGAAAGGTTTGTGTTCCTTCTTTGCGGAGGCCAGTCGGTACCCCTGCAGAGGCGCGGACTAGCGAGAGGACAGGAGGCACTTCAGAGAGCAGCAGCAGCACCGGGAGTTTCTTTGTCCACTCTGCCTTCTCTCCAGTCTCTCCCTGCCTTTCCTGCCCTCCCTGCCCCAGCAACCCCCAGTAAAACTTTTAAGGCTCTTATTAGATTTTGACAGAGGGTTTTAAAGGGACATGGAGCTCTCTTAGCTGCGGATCCCTGGTGTAAAACGACACCAGATTCCATGAGGCAAGGACAATGAATTCTCACCCCTTCCACAGGCCCCGCAGTTCTTGTGGACTTTCCTGCTGTCCACAGGGGCTGGGTGAGCTGTGGGTACCACACCTCCATCAACCAACTGCCTGCGAAAAAATAACTCAAAGCCTATAAGGCTCTCGCAAGAGGTCGGACGCATTTTAGTGGTAGTTATATCAGCAGCATGTAAGAGCACTTCAGGAAGTTCCTGGAAAAGTGAAATTAAAGGTGAATTTGTTTTGGAGCAAAAAGAAAAAAAAAAACAACACTTGGAATCCTGGCATAGTTTTTTTTAATTAATATGCATTTTCAAAATCTTTTAAAAAAGATTTTTTTATTTATTTGCAAGGCAGAATGACAGAGAAAGAGGGAGCGACAGAGAGAAATCCTCCGTCTGCCGGCTGCAACAGCCAGGGCTGGGCCGGCATGAACCAGGAGCCTGGAACGCCACCCAGATCTTCCCAGGCGCATTAGCAGGGATCTGGATCCGAAGCAGAGCAGCCAGGACTCAAAACGGGGCTCCAGTGTGGGATCCTGGGAGGCCCCTGCACCCCAACATGGGCCTTCCATGAACTCTTTGAAGATCCCACATATGCATGGACTTCAAAACTTTCTGCACTAAAATAAACTTAGGTTCTAATTCTGTTTCTCACAAGCTCAGATGTACCCTCGCATTTCATGATTGCCACCATAATTAAAGCCTCTTTGCAGTTGGCTATCTGCCATCGTGTTCATGTCTGTCGGTCTGATTTTAACTCAAAAAGGTATTGTCTGATTTTTAAAAACACAAACTTGGAATCCAATAAGGATGTGAGTACAGCTTAAATTTCTCACCTGGTCGTCGTGACATTAAATGACGGTCTGAGAATGTCTAGAATCTTCTATAATGTCGAAACGTGTCAGTTAAGACCAAGTATGTGATGATAGAGATAGAATTGTGCTGAATCAAGTCGGCATTCACGGTAACACTGATTTAGTTACATTTCGGCCCGAGGAGGGTCCCTGAGGCTTCTACCCAGGAGACTGAGCAGGCTGGTGCGGTCCTTGCATAAACCGCCAGTGGCATTTGAATTGCTGTGATTAATGGCTGCTTCCACGTGAGCCTCTCCAGAAGACTTGCATTGCACACTGACAGCAAAACCACTCTTTCTAGAACCACGGGTGGTCTTCTGAGGCACGTTTCTGTTATTAGCCTGTAACAACAGAGAAACTACTCTTTATTTCCTTAATTTTTTTTAAGATTTACTTTGTTTTATTTGAAAGGCAGAATGACAGAGGGAGAGGAAGAGACAGAGAGAGAGATCTTCCATCTGCTGGCTCACTCCCCCAAATGGCCACAACAGCCTAGTCTGGGCCAGGCTGAAGCCAGGAGCCTGGAATCCCATCCAGTCTTCCCGTGGGGGTGGCCAGGCTCAAGTTTTGGGCCATCTTCTGCTGTTTTCCCAGGAGCATCAGCAGGGAGCTGGGTGGGAAGCAGAACAGCCAGGACTTGAACCAGTGCTCCAATACAGGATGCTGGCATCACAGGCAGCTGCTAGACGCACTGTGCCATAACGCTGGTCCCTTTCCTTCATTTCAAATGTCTGTCTGACCTCAGACAGACAGACCTGTGTTCTATCAGTGTTGTTGAGGACGGAACTTAATTAGCAGCACTGTGCTAAAAGAAATTTTCCTTACCTGGGTTGCTTATGCTTGCTGGCCATCATCTTTTAATCATGTGTTAGTGTTAAAGGCAGCGGCCCCGCAGTCATTCCCCCCATCGCCACCTGCACACATCAGATAGAAATGGTTTCCCTTGACGCTCTAAACACACAGGCGAATTCCCCTGAGAAGACTCGTTCTCATAAGCGGCCATGTCCTGTGTTAATTTAGTCATCAACATACATTTGTATGGCAGCGGAGAGAATTTGCCCGAGTCCAAAGCAGGGCTGAAGCGGATAGTAAGAAATGTGAGGAAGCCAGGTCTTGTGTATATTTATAAATTTAATGTTAATTGCAAAGATGTTAAGTACAAATGCTTAGGCTCAGGGGAGCAGTGCCCTTCTAGGGCCAGCCAAGTCAAGTGTGGCATTCAGCAGGCAGGTTGGGGTGACGGGGCCAGAGCTACCCACGGAGAAGCCCAGCTAGTTCTGGGACTGGGGCGAATAGGCATGAGGGGCAGGCAGGGTGCTGGCTGCAGGCTGAGATCCAGCTTCGCAAGCGTCCCAGGTACCCTGGCCACCCAGGGCTTCCAACTGGACGTTCTAGAGAACTGACACACAACACCGCTCTCCCAGAAGCTTGGCCGTTTACAGAATCAACAGCGCTCCGCCTCTCCAGGAGCAGGCCCCTTCTACCTGGACAGGAAACGGGCCCCAGCCAGGGTCAGAGGTGAACAGGCCGTCTCCAACTCAAAAACCCCATCATCCAGGTCACCTCGGGCCAGTTTCTACTTCCAGTGGACAGTGAATGGCAGCTGTGCACTTGGGGCTTTGGCTGAACCGCCTGCCGCCCTCACACCAACACTCCGCCCCTGAGAAAAGAAAGTGCAGGAACCGTGAGTCCATTGCACCCTTCCTGGGCCTGCAACCTTCGGTCATGGCCTCCCCCACCCCAAGCCTTGGCCTCAGTCTGGGAGTCCTGCTGCACCCAAGCCCAGGTCACCAGGTCTGAGTCGGCCTGTAGGGGGAGTGCGTGTGTGTCCACCCATCTCCCGCCAGTCACCTGCAGCAGAGTCCCAGTCTTGCCAGATCATTTTTTCTCAACTCCTTACTCTTCCTCTTGGAAATGCCACTGCTGATGGGTCTCAGCTGGCTGAGCAGCGCCTCCCCTCCCCCTGCAGTCTGGCCCCTGGCTTCGGGGGTAGCAAGGCTTGCTTGTTGCTTTGTGGCTCCCTGGCCTGCTGAGTCTTCTACTCCAGGGGCCGAGGTCTCCCATGTGCCAGTGGCTGTGGCTGCGGGGCCTGTGTGTTCCCTGCACCCAGCATCACAGAAGCCATGCAAAGCTCTGGCTGAGTCCAAGGCCTTGTCAGATATTGTTTTATATAGTTTATATACATGAATACTTCTGTATATATAAAAGAATGCAAAATATGCTTTTATTTATATACATATTCCATTTTATTTCTTTGACAGGCAAAGAGAGAGAGAGAGATCTCCCATTCACTGGTTCACTCCTCAAATTCTCAGAACAGCCATGGCTGGGCCAGGCTAAGACCACTAGCCCAAAGCTCAATCCAGGCCTCCCGGACAGCTGGCAGGGAGCCAGGCACTTGGGCCATCGCCTGCTGCTTCCCAGGGTGTGCAGGCACTCCCATATGGGATGCAGGCATCCCAAGTGGCAGCCTCACGGATGCACTCATGTGGCTATGCTAACCACAAATAAATGCACTGAGAGACAGCTCGGTTAATAGATGTGCAACCAGAAGCAGAAGTCACACAGAAGGTTGAACAAACCCAGAAATCGCCCCCATGACCCACAGCCGGACTCAAGGGCATTTGCCCAGTGGGCTCCCCAAGGGCCTAGCACTCACGGGTAACAACTCCGGGAATAGCATGAACGGAGCTGCAG